TTTTGGATAATCTTCAGCAGGATTTTGCTTGTGTGTTATATTAGTGATGTTGTTTGATGTTGGGTCACTTTGTTTTTTGGAATGGAAATAAATATGGATTTCTTCCAGTCAGATGGTCAGGTTGTTGTCCTCCAGGTTTCTTGGCACAACCTGGTGAGCATGTCCATGACAGCATCTGTCTGTTGAAATATGTCAATTGGTATTCCATCAATTCCTGGGGTTTTATTTTTTGCTAATTCCTACAAAGATGAACTTCTTCCTTCATCACCATAGGCTCTTGCTCATATGTTGTTTCATGAAATTCTTCTGTGTCTGCCAATTCCTTTCGGTACAATGACTCTGTATACTCTTTCCATCTTCTTTTAATACTCCTGGATCATTTAATATTCTGCCCAAAGCATCCTTAAGTATAGCAACTCACGGTTTTAATTTGTTCCTCAGTTCCTTGAGCTTAAGAAATCCTGAGCAAGTTTGGCCCTTTTGAATTTCTGACTCCAGTTCCTTGCATATTTCATTGGCATATTTTCCCTTTTCTTCCCGTGCTGCCTTTTGAAATCTTCTGTTCAGCTTTTTAATATCTTGAATTCCCTTTGCTTTGGTTTCTCGGGGCTCCATGCACTAATATTCAGAGTCTCTTCTGACATCCATTTTGGTTTTTTCTCCATCCTCTTCTTTGTAATGACCTTTTGCACTCTTCCTGGATGATACCCTTGATATCCTCCCACAACTCATCTGGTCTTCGCTCATTGGTGTTCAAGGCCTCAAACCTGTTCCTGAGATGGTTTTGAAATTAAGGTGGAATAGATTCAATATTGGTTCCTGTGGATCTTATTTTGGTTCCTGCGGATCTTATTTAATTTTCCTCAACTTCAGTTTGAACTTACATATTAGTAGTTAATGATCTGTTCCACAATCAGCACCTGGCCTGGTTTTCACAGCTGATATTGAGCTTCTCCAGCAGTTCTTTCCACAGAAGTAATCAATATGATTTCTATGCATATCATCAAGTGAAATCCATGTGTATAACTTGGGTTTATGTTTCTTATAAAACATACTTGCAATGAATAAGTCATTTTATCTCCATTTTCATTTCTGTTACCAAGTCCATGTTTTCAAATTGATCCTTCTTCTCTGTTTCCAACTTTTGCTTTCCAGTCACCAATTATTATTAATGCATCTTGATTGCATGTTCAATCAATATCTGACAATAAAAGTTGGTAGAAATCTTCTATTTCCTCCCCTTTGGCTCTGGCTGCTGGTATTCATTAAGACTTCCTTGTGTGCGTATGGATATTATCCTGCCACTCACAATATTGTATTTCAAGATATAAATAGAAATGACTTTTTTAATTATGAAATCAACCTCATTTTTCACCTTTTCATCTCCGGAGTAATAGATCATATGATCGTCCAACTCAAAATGCCCCGTGACAGTCCATCTCATCTCGGCAATACCATTCCATTTCTTCCTTAACAATATCTAATTTTCCTACATTCATGGTTCTCACATTCCAAGTCCCAATCACTGGTGTCTGCTTATAACTGTTCCTCTTCCTCTGTATTTCTATACTTGAAAGCTCCACCTCAGTTGCCCTGTTAGTCTACATATGTTCTATTGTACACAGGGTTTTCAGAGGCCTGCTGTTTTGGAAGTGGATCACCAATTCTTCTTCTTTGTCTATCTTATCTGAATGCTCAGATTTAGAAAAGTATCTGACAGACAAGAATTTTATGGAAAAAAGCAGATGAAAGATAATTCCCCAGTTGAGGAATTAATCAATAGTTTCAGTATTATCCCCGCCCTTGACAGAAGTGTATTGACCCACCCATTTCTTTGCTCCACCATCCACCAGCATCCCCTTCCACTCCCACCCACTCCCTTCAACATCTATCTCCAATAGTCCAGCTCTTGATCTGATAGCTTATATCTCAAGTGGCAGTCAATAAATTTAAAATGTGAGTTGTATTAGGAGAGTCTGTTGTCAAAGATCTCTTTAGAGTGCTATAGACTAAGGTAAGCCTGATCTAAGTAAGCCATGATATTTTAAACTGCTGCTGACAAAGGTGAAATCTGGGCAATAAGTAAGGAAAATCAAAGAAAAATCCATGCTTTTTAACTGTGGCGTTGGTGACAAGTATCAAATACTCCATGGACTGCTAAAAGAACAAAGAAATCGGTCTTGGAGGAAGTGCAACCAGAGTGCTCCTTAGAGGCAAAGGTACACTGTACATACTTGCGGTATGTTGTCAGGAGGTGCTAGACCTTGGATAAGAGACATTAAGCATGGAGAAGTAGAGGGTCAGTAAAAGAAAAGCAGACCCTTATGAGACAGATTGACAGTGACTGTCACAATGGGCTTGAGCACGGAGATTGAGAGGCTGGTGCAGGAGAGGGCAGGGTTCTGATCTATTGTTCGCAGGGTAGCTTCGAGCTGGAGTCAACTGAACACCACAATGAGACAGATGCCGGCTGGCTGCACCTAGAGGGTGAGAGACAGAACTCTGTCCACAGAGCACACACACCCACTCAGGTGAGTTCTTTCCTCAGAATAGACAAGGAGGTTGATGGGTGTTGAAAGAGCGTGGGCTGTGGCTGAGAAAGGAGAAAAAGAAAAACAACAGTAAGAGCGTGGGAGCACTGGGGTACAGCTTCCAGGGTCAAAGCCAAGTCCCCTGAGAGACGGTAGGGTCAGCTCTCAAGAGGCAGTCCATGCCAGGAAATCTATTCCTCAAACTCTGAACAGTTCAGAAATGGCGCCAGACACTTTGAGTAAATAAAGGATTTCACTCTTCTTAGGGTTTCCTTGAGGATGAGGGGTACACCCACACATACTTCAGGAAGCAGCAGTCACAGTCAGCCTGAACGTCAAGGGGTAGTGACCACTTCACCCCACAGTCATGGGCACCTGCCAGGCCTTTACAAGGGGAGCCCAGATAGCAGGAGTCCCTCCCTCTTCAGACCACAGCTTGGCTACAAACACAGCATGTGGACTCCCTGATATGCTTCCTTTACGGGACACAAAGATGGTTCTGGTTTGGTGTCTGTTCCTAAGAACTCACAGCCTGCTTGGGGTAGCACTGGGTAAAGTTCAAGGGGCTAGGATCCGTGTGAAGGCCTCCTAGCTGGCTCCTCACAGCCTCTTTAGCGACCACTTAGCAAGTTCTGACCAGCTGGCCACGCCTCTGAGGCTTTTCTTCAATAGCCAAAAAAAGTAGACCTGAGGGGATGAGGTGAAAATTTCCATCTTAACAGTGATGAGAATGTGGATGGAGACAGGTGCATCCGGAATCACTTCTCCACGCTCTTAAGTTCACACCCACCCCTGGTCTTAAAATAGGCATGTGCAGGCCAGTTTTCAAGGGTTTCACCATCACCCTTTGTTCGTCTCAAGAAGAACAGATGGGCCAAACAGCTGGGCTCGTGAAGCACCACTGACCACACTCCATGGGAGCTGGAGATGACAAGAGAGTGGGTAGGGATCTGAGCTCCTGGACTCGACTCTGCTGAGCCTGGGGTCAGTTTCCCACAGTGTTGGGTGATGTGACTGGGACCAAAATCACAGCTCAGGAGCTGGACTTCTCAGAGGTCTTTCCCCAGTCGAGGTGGTTTATGGTCTTTCCATTCAGAAATGGCCTCAAATACAGTAACCGCAAGGGGAGCTTGTCACCTTCCCAGCCTGGTGCAGGGGGTAGTGAAACCACCCCTGAAGTCACCTGAGTTCTACCCTGCCCCTCATCTCCATGCCTTCAAACCAACTCCCAGGCCTGCAAAAGCCCCCCAGGGCTCTGGGTACTGCAGCTTCTCTATGAGTGACACTTCGAGAGCAGCTGCAGCTTCAAAGGAGGCATTGTGTTCAGGGACAACTGGCTTCCAGGCATTCCTTCATGCTGCGTCCAACCCTGCCAGAGCCCCATACTGGGGTGTCGCCCTGTCCCCACCAGATTCCTCCCTGAGCCTCTTGTTTGCTTTTGGTCTAAGGGGCCTTGTGGCACAGCGAAGTTCCTCTGAAGTCCGTCACAGCCTCCGAGAAGCACCACTTTCTTCACTTGAAAATGAGTACCGAGTCCTTAGCAGTGTAGCTTCCTGTGCTGGTCACTGAGGTACAAGAGTGCCCTCTGACAAAGGCAATGACTACATATGAGGTGAACTGACAGGGATTTAAACCTGGGAACCACCACTGTCCTCAATATGTTGTTGGCTTCCCTTAAAAATATTGTAATGTGGGGAGCCGCTTACCAAGAACCACTATATGTCAAGTTCCATGTTGCAGCCCTTGATACACACTCTCACCAATGCACATAACGACCTTGACCGTAGACAAGGGTTTTCTCTACTTTTCTAATTAGGAACAAGAGGCACAAGGCCATTAAGTAACTTGCCAAAGGCCATGCTGTAATCAGTGATGAGGCCGAGATTAACAAGTGTTCTCTCCCACACAAAGCTGACCCTGATGCCCCAACACTGGGAAAGTCTTTTTGATGCTCTAAAATTCTCCTTCCTGCAGCTCCCACATAATTGAGATGATTTTTATAGGAGAGAGCGAATGATGGTCATTCCACCTTCTACGCTCAAAAATAACATGGAAAGCAATGCTGAGGCTCTCGGAGAACTCCGGAGACTTCCGAATTTCTGGAAGGACATGCAGTTTCTCGGGCCCCCCCTTCCAGTCAATTTTAATAGTTCCTAAAACCTAATGAGGGAGCTTGGATGGCTTAGTGGTAAAAAGTTATGCTGTCAACCCAAAAGCAGACAGTTCAAGTCCACTTGATGCTCCATGGGAGAAAGATGGGTAGTCTCTTCCAGAGCAGTTTACAGCCTCTGAAAACCGAATGCAGGGTCAGCTATGAGTCAGCTCTGACCCAACAGCACATAACAAGACAAAACCCACTGGGATGCCTCTGCTAAAAGAATAGGTTTGCATAACCCAGTCCCATTTTACAGATGAGATCATCCCCACGAAGGTGTGGACAGGTAGAATGGGGACCCCTCCCCAGCCTACCTTCATTGTGAAGGTCCCCATGAGGCTCTGCCCACTCCTGCTGGCCGGCCTCCCGGCGGTATACCACGTGTGTCCTCCCGCCGCTGGCCTCCTTCTCCTGCTGCCCCCGCTCCAGAGGCTCAATGAAGTAGTCGGTTCTGTCTGTACGGATCAAGCCAGCCTGAACCAAGGGTACAGTGGGTAGAAAAAAGGGGTACAAGAGGAGAGAAAGAAGTGTGAGTACCCAGCAGACACACAGGTGAACCCTTGTGAATGCAACCAGCCCACAGCTCTTCCTCCAGGGCCTTGGGGAGTCCCAGGGTTCCAGGAAGTATACTGAGACCCTGTTTAGGAAGTGAGGGGAGGTAGCACAGAGCTGAGCAGGAAAATCCCATCCCCATTTCATGCAAAGCAGACTCATTTTTACTATGTAATGTGATCATGAGGTTACACATAAAATTTCACTTAAACAAAGGGTCGTATTGTTTTAAAAGAGCAAAGCGTATGAAAGACCCAATTAATTACAAGGGATAGATATATATACACATAAGGGAGCCATGTTTCAACCCCAAACATGAGTTCATGGGTGTTCTGGGGTTTTTTTATCTACAGGCAGAAGAGGAGAAACCCTAGCAGCAGATGTTTTTTATCCCTAAGGTAAGTCTGGTGCCACATTCCAACACAGAGTACTATGAATTCAGATTTAGAGCCTATATGTGTGTGCACTCATGCTGCATTCACAAGTACTCACTCCAAGGAGAAGCATTAAATGTTCATCTGCACTCAACCAGCCAAGAGGCTACAGCAAGAGGGCACACTCTATTTTTAATGTCTTTTTTCCCCCCCTGCATCAAAATATTTCTTTTTTTAAAGAAAAGCAGGTGTTTGCCTTGGAAATAAAAACATAAAAAATTTAACCCTGGCCAAGCCCAGCAAATGTGTGATTAGCACTCCATGGAGGCATTTATCACAGCGGCCAATGAAACTCAATGTGTATGCATAGCTGCATACACGAACACACACGTCATGTCTTAAAAAGTGCTAAAACCGGCCCACCTATCACAGAGCCTGGAAAACAGGAGGCACTCAAGAAATAAATATTTGCTGAATTCGGTCACTCATTCAACAAATAACCATCAACTGTTTTCTAACCTAGGCATTGGGGACCCAGCTGTGAACACAGAGTGAAAGAAGGTACCATTTTTATACATCTATTGGACCTTCATTGGTTTTCTTTAAAGCAGCCGTTTTATGAAACTAAATACCATCTATTTTTCCCACCTCAGACTCTTCTGAGATTGCTTCCTAAGGAACAAACAAGGCCTACTGGACATCCAGCACCACTGAGCCTCCCAGTGGCTGCAAATCTTTTTCACATCCCTTCTCTCAATGATTCTTGATCAAATACAAACACCACTGTGTCTCCAAAGCAAGAGGACCTTACTTCTGTTCCTCTAAACAGATTCAGTCAAGACTGAAAAATGTTCTAGGAGAAATGGCAGCATCATTCTTTTCAGGTTTCTTTTATTCACATGAAAGTCTCACATACTTTGGGCATGTTGTCAGAAGGGGCTAGCCTTTGGGAAAAAGACCTCATGCTGGGAAAGGTCGAGGGTCAGAGAAAGAGAGAAGATTAACTGAGAAGATTAACTGGCCTAGTGGCGCCGACATCGCCGACATCGAGCTCAGGCACATCAGAGATGGAGAGGATGGTGCAGGTTAGGGCAAGGTTCAGATATGTTGCTCACCGTGTCACTACACATCGACTCAATGGCACCCAACAACAGCTTCCAGTTATGAGTTGTTTAACAGAGCTCTGGCGGCACAGTCCACAGAGCTGTGCTCCTAGCCAAAGGTCATGCCTCTCTGGCTGTTTGAATCCACCAGCAGCTCCTGGGAAAGCAAGGTAATTTCCTCCTGTGTGATTTACAGCCTCTGAAAACTTGCTGGAGGGCCAGCTATGAGTTAGTTCCAAATTCACAGCAGGTACATCAACATTGTTTAGAGTCTGCAGGGCAGGCCCAGAAAGGAATGAGTTCTGGGGTCAGGGTGAGGACACAGACAAAGGCTGAGGGAACATGTATGTGGGCTCTGAAGGGTGCAAGGGACAGAAATTCAACCCAAGCTTTCTTGGCCCAAAAGGGAATGGAATGACCTCATGACCAAACCATGGCAGCAGCAGGGCTGGAAGTGAGGGTCCCTAATGTTCTCAGCTGCTTTTCTATCTCTCCTTTTAGCACATCTCTCAGACATGACGATCTGGTCCTATCTTCCAGATACATCTCTGTCATCATACACAAGCACAGGTTCCTTTCCAAGTCTCACCTCCAGAAACCCCAAGAAAAGATGCTCACTGTCCCTGGCCAGAGGAAAAGTGAAGATTTCATCAGGAGAGACTTGTCAGGTTGGCAAAAGAAAGCCAGCAGAGGTAAGAGGGGCATACCAGGGGGAGGGACAAGTGAAAGTGCCAAGCATGAAATACAGGCTGGCAGGAAGGAGGTGAGCCTCAACCTGGATACTAAATGATAGCCAAGTCAAAGGGCCTCTGCCCTTGAGCGTCACTTATAGAATCCCAAAGAGAAGGAGCCCATTTCTTAAGACATTTGAGGACTGCAGGATGGGAGGGGCAGCTGGTCATCTCCAGATCCAGGCCATGGCCTCCTAACTTCTACAAGCCCAGCCTGTGCAGCCCCTCTGGGTCTATTTCCATGATGACCTATGCAGTCTCCTTCAGACGACCCATACCCACTCACTCCACCCATCCTTCTTTCCACACCTTTGTCTTACACTTAGAGTGACTTAGTCCTGTTCAAGCATTTCCAGGACAAGAAAACCACACAGCCCAGGCCAGAAGGCTTCTACTTCATCCAGCCACAATTATGCCAACCAGGCTTGCCAAAGCCCTCCTCATCTCTGCAACCTGGTGAGCCAAAAGCACAAGGAAGACTCTTCAGAATCTGGCACTCCCCATCCAATGCCTGAAAACTCAGTGTGGCTGCCAGATCTCAGTACCTCATATAAGTTTCCAGAATGATCTGGATGGGGGTAGGACTGGGCACTAAGCCACTGCCTTCCAGCCCACCCCTTGCTTTCCAGCCCACAATCATGGACCTTTGAAAATTATTATGCCAGTCCCAGTCTCTAGCTTCCATATCCCAACAAATGTCCTTTTAGGACACATCCAAGTTTCACTTGGATGCTTCTCCATAGACAGAAAGCTCCCTTTCTCAAGATGTAGGCATCTTCTTGGGATCTTATTTAGCTGAAACCTTGGCTTCTGACAGCCCACATTTTGTTGTTGTTGTTGTTGTTATGTGCTGTCAAATCACTTGCGACTCAGCAATCCTATGTACAACAGCTCTGAACCCTGCTCTATCCTGTGCCAACATTATTGTTTCTGACACACCTACCCTTATTACTCCAGTCACCGAATAAATCCATCTCATCGAGGGTCTTCCTCTCTAGCGCTGTCCCTTCATCCTTCCAAGCATGACGTCCTTCTCCAAGGACTGGTCCCTTCTTGCAACATGTCCAAAGTATGTCAGACAAAGCCTCAGAATCCTTGCCTCCAAGGAGGAGACTGGTTTCACCCTCTCTAGGATGAACCTGTTTGTTCTCCTGGCAGTCCATGGTATATTCAATACTTTTCTCTAGCACCACAGCTCAAAGGCATTAATTCTCTTTCTGTCATCCCTAGTCATTGTAAAATGTTATTATCTTGCTAGTATTAATAAAGGGAGCTCTGGTGGCCTAGTGGCTTGCCACTAATTCTATACATATACTGTCTTTTTTAATCTTTCCAACAACCCGTTGATGTCAACACTATTATTAGGACCATTTTACGATTGAGAAAATAGAGGTTCTGAATAGTTAAATGGCTTGTCCAAAGTCACCCAACACTACAATGCAGCTCAGTTCTGGTGGCTCTTAACTACCATGCTACACTAACATTGGGTCACCCCAGGGTCTGCTTCTATCACTGGGGGCCACACGAATCAAGAAATTTATACTTTCATGGTCCCAACTCCAAACCTGTGGGCATCAGATCTGGTCTGCCCACACAGAGCCAGCAGGAGCCTCACTTTGTGCAAAACAACCATCCCATGGAAGGCACTGCACCTCCTTCCAAGGGAGGTGAGAACAGAAGAGCTGCCACATCTCATAAAAGGAACTGACGCCCCTTACTCCCTGCAGGGTGTCTCCCAACCTGAAAGGACCCTTTCTCCCACCCCCACACACTGCCCACATCTCATCCTCAGCCCCCCTCTACCAGAAGTAATCCAGATTCCTAGGAGCCCTGGGTCTGATTCAACCTCCACACCCTCGGGCCTCTCCCCAGAGAAGGTTAAGGAATCTAGCCTTTCCCCCACCAAATGAACTGCAGGACACAAGAACCAGACCCAAGCGTTGAAATACACAATGTGGGAAACAAATCCGTGACTGCAGATTCCACCAACTTCCTCCTCCACCTCCAAGACCAAGGGCAGGATGTCACAACAAATTGTCCTCGTCCCTTCTTTTGCATTAAGCCTGGATAACCACAGGTACTTTGGTTCCAGATCTGAGAGCTTCCCCCTGGGAAGAGGATAGGAAGGCGGGTGGTCATGACCGTAGGAGACAGGATGGACCGGCCTTTTCTTCACCAAACCTCAGTTTCCCTGGCTCCGTCTCCTCCTAGCTTGGCCCCTCTGCGGTTCAGGAAACCAGGCACCACGGAGGGCAGACAGACTGGCAGCAGAACACGCTGGCTCTGTCTCCTCACTAAATTATCCTCATTTCTCAATTTATGAGATATTTATATTTCTGAAAAGTGGGGGTTAATTTTAAACCACTAAAATCAAATCAAATGTCTGTATAAAGGGGGGAAAACCCTCAGGAAATCATTTCAGTGGACTGAAAAAAAAATCAAGTATATCTGTTTCTACTCACACCTTATTCTCTTAGAAACAGAAAATAAATAGGAAAGATATCTTAGAAGGGAGCTCTGATGGCTTGGTGGTAAGGGGTTGTATTGTGTACCCAAAGTCTTGCGGTTCAAATCCACCAGCTGCTCCATGGAAGACAGATATTCAATCTCCTGCTGTATGATTTACTGCCTATGAAAATCCTCTGAAGGGTCAGCTATAAGTTGTTTCCAACTTGTAATATGCAACAACGTCTCTTACAAAGACTCTTCATGCA